GATTTCCAATGCATTCCATGATTTTTAAATATATATTGTTCATAATGATAGATGTGTTTTGAATAGTGATTTTTGAGTTTGTGGTATAATTTTGTATTTTGTTGGTAATAAAAGAAGGAACAAAACCTTTGATCATGTCAATGAAAGTGAAATTATTCAGATCATTGTCAACAGACCATATGGTACGAATAGGATAATTGATGTTGTTTTTGTTTTTATTATTATTATTATTATTGATTTGAGTGCAAATTTCTTCTTTTGTTTCATGACTGGTTTGTTGTACTTTCTGTCTGTTTTGAGGACAAGACCAGACATGATTGAAATTTTCTTTTTCATTGTGGCAGAGAAGACAATCCCAATGTTTATATAAATCTAGTCTTCTTTTTTTAATATGCTCTAAAGTTAGGATTTCTTCTAGCATAAATTTGATTTTGGAGGTTTGCAATTGGAATTGGGGAAGGATGTTTCATTAGAAATTTCATCATTATTCAATGAAAAAAAGTATTACTCCAGTCTATGTTGCATTCTTGATTTTTCTATTTCTATATAAATTATACCATTTTGCAAAACCTTTATTTTATGAGGTATGTTTGATAAAATGTCATAGATGAGTATCAATAATTATGTTTTTCCACTTTGGCTCATATATGAGAGGATGTAGTGATAAAGGAAAGAATGAGGAGATTTAAAACATCTTTAGCAAGAGTATCCACTCTTTCATTATATATGTTTCCAGTATGTGTTTTTATCATTCTAAATGATAATGTAATATTATTGATTCTGATAACATCATGTAATATTGACCAAAAGATGCAATTTTTTTCTTTAAATATACTACAAGGATATGTGTGGCATTGCTCCTTAAAAGATTTGTTAAATTGATCTATTGTTGATTTACTATCTGTGCAAATAGTAATCTTGGAGTCTTTAGGTGCAATTAATAAAACAGCTGTTACAGCAGCCATTTCAGCACATGTTGCAGAAGGCCATTTTTTTTTTTTATTGATGCTCCAAATTCCAATGGGGGAGAGCTTGGATGTGTTTGAATATAAACAATGCCCATTTTCATTGTTTCTTTATTTAGATCTATAAGCAATCCATCAGTATGAAACTCCAAATTTAAGGAAAGGCGTAATTGTTGCAGAAGGCCATTTTTTTTTTTTATTGATGCTCCAAATTCCAATGGGGGAGAGCTTGGATGTGTTTGAATATAAACAATGCCCATTTTCATTGTTTCTTTATTTAGATCTATAAGCAATCCATCAGTATGAAACTCCAAATTTAAGGAAAGGCGTAATAAGCTTTGTTGTTGTAGTAATAAATCATGCAAAGGAGAAGATTTAATAAATCAAAAAATTAAATTTTCTTCTGTTATTGTATTTGGGAGTTCTACTGTTGTATATGTCATTTGTTGTATATTAAATTTATAGTGATATTCTGCTCTTTGTTTTAATTCAAAAATAGTACATCATGTCTTATATCATTATTTATTTAATATATCACAAGTTTTATTTTAAATTTGTATAGTTGGCTTGGTCTAAAGATCTCCTAAATTTTGGGCAAATTTTAAAAGTATAGAAGTCATTTTCTGTCCTATCTTTTAAAAAAATAACTCTATTAGTTGATAGAATATGTATTTTGTTTTAATGTAATAAAGAGATTTTCTCAAAAAAATTCTTTGTTGTAGAGTTCTATTCTTTTTTAAAACATGTAATTTACTATATATGCTCATGAAAAATTTGAGCGCTAGGATCATTGCTAAATTTAGATTAGTTTTTGATCATCATTACTAAATTTAGACTAACACTCGACCATCATATCTAAATTTGGCAGTAAAGAAAATAATTTATTAACCAAAATCACGTGAATGCCTTTTTAAAAAATTTTATTACATTTTTGAACGAATCACGAAATCGCATTTTTTGAAATCTGTACGTGGCGCAGCGATAGGAGGTCTTTAGACCGAGCCAACCATAGAGTTCTATTCAAAATTTGGTCACTAGATCATTACTAAATTTAGACTAGTTCTCGACTATCGTATCTAAATTTGTCAGCAAGAAATAATTTTTAAACCTAAAATCACGTGAAGTCCTATTTTAAAATTTTTATTGCATTTTTGAACAAATTACAAAATTGCTATTTTTTTGAAATTTGGCTATATGGCACAGCAGTAGGAGGTTTTTAGACTGAGCCAACCATATATTAATAAATTATTTATATATTATATGATATATTGATATGAACATCACTTCAACTTGTTAATGCTATAAAAAATGAAAACATTGGATTGAAAAATTTATTAAAAATTATCATTTATTTTTTGTCAAAAATCATTATTTTAGTGTGTATATTTGACATCAAAAAAAAATTCTAAAGATAATTGTGAGAAGATATTACCTTTATATAATATCATAGTAGCCAAATAAATAAATAAAAATAAATAATAAATAATTTAATATGTAATAAAATGACAAGATTTAACTTATTCAGGTAAGTCATCTTGTATAGCTAATTCAATTTGTTTAGAATCCATAGAATATTATCACAAGAGTGGGTATTAATAAATATTGTTAATTTTAAAAGTTAATAAAAATGAAAATAATCAATGATTAAACATTGATAATCACCATTATTATTACCAATAATTGTTACTTTATTGGAATTCACAGGTTGGGGAAGGTTTGTAAATTTTAATAATCTGCTAGTATAAATTGTATTTGGATGAATTACTGTAGTAATTGTCAAAGGATCAAATTTTATTTCGTCCATTTTCTCAAACTCTTTTCTAATTGATTCATTATTAAACATATCCCAAGAATCAATAATATTAAAAATTTCTTTAGCAATTGGACGATTATCTGGATTAGCATCCATGCATTTAAATGCAATAATAAACCTTCAATTTTCCATCTTTATCTTTTATCCTTATTGTAATGACCAACGAAAATTTCATTAATTTCTGATTTTCTCTTGAAAAGCAAGAATAACATCGGGTACTTGCTTGCAAAAGCAGAGGAAAATAATAGATAATTAACATTCTAACAAAATAAAGCTGTGATGGAATCATCATTTTTATTAAGTAAAGTTAATCTTTTGAAAATAAACATAAAAACAATCATTTTCTTTATTTTCTTTGTTTAAGCACTTTATAAAAGCAGCAAGTGTAATGCCTTAAGTAAAGGACAACAATTGTAGAGCTTTGGTAAAAGGCCACGTTTATTTGCTTTAGTGAGCAACCAACGTTGGTTAACTAGCGAGTGTTAACAACAATTAGTAGCGTAATTTGTTTTAGTGAGTAAGTAAAGGTTAGGGCTGACGTTGGTTAGTAATCGAGGACCAAAGTAAATTCGTAAACTAATTAATTAATAAACACCGAATTATTGTGCGTTTCTTGCAATTAACTGACAACCATAATTGTTGAATAATTGGTATTGAAATTACTTCAAAATTTAGAAACGAAAGAAAAAGATAATAATAATGAATAAATTTATAAATTAAATTTTAATTATTAGAATCTAATCAATCAATGAGTATTGTTACAGTATTGTTAGTAATAATTAGTGGATAGTAATGTTCAATTAATTAACAATGAAATTTTTATTCGCCATCAACATTTAAGAGATGAGAGTTAAAATCAAGATTATTACTTGTATAACTTTTTAAGCCTTTAGATTTAGAAATATCTTCGTCTAATATTCTACTTTAATGATATGCATCTGGATTTGTGTACTTGTTACAAATCATTACTACTATTACTAATGTTATTATTATCATCATCATCATGATGTTTATTAATAGCAAAGTCAAAAAAAGCTCACTAATTGTCTTTTTGATGGATTCACATCCCACATTATTAATAATATTATTATTACGTATTGCTATTACGCGTAGTTACCTTCAAAGTCAAAATTTCGAAAAAACATAAAGTTAATACAACTTGTATTTATGTTTAATAATCAGAATTGCATTAATTTGTAAAAGAAGAAAAATTTTAATTTCTAATTCATTTGTAAACCTCCCATGATAATTATTCTTCTTGCGTCATTGTAATATGATAATTCTTTATCCACATACAATTTGGAACTTCTTGATAATCCTATTTTATCATTGTCAGGTGGTTTTGCTTTAGTCAAATCGTCAAAATGGCCCTGGTGAGAAACTACCTTTAGTCAATACTTTAGTTACGTCAATGACTAAAGTCAAAAGTTTCGTCATACATCATCTCTTTAATGGCGGTGACTTTTTCACTTTTCTTGCAATTAAAAGTTTTGAGCCCTGTTCCAACCGCACAGCTTTGGTATCATAACAGATTTATTAGATAGTTTTTATATATTTTCCTCCAGAAAAATAATAACGAATCCATCCTTTTTATATCAAGAATGTTATTAAAAGAAAGTTCACAATCATCATAAATATTTAAACCAAGCGAGTTTAAAAAATTTTTTTCGTTTCAGCTTTCAACTCTCAACATTCGCTTTTTCAACACACTCTTTCAACCCTTCCCTTTACAGGAGGAAATAAATTTTTTTATCTATTTTGTCTGTGAGGAAAAGAACAACCACAGCATTTTGGTAGAATGAATCGACCACCCAACAGTCTAGAGGCCTATTTGTTTTTAATTGGACACAATGGTTACGGCATTGTTGACTAGAAGAACCCATAGTGGCTGCAGGATGGGTTGTGACCTTTGAAGTCTGGACTCTTTCAAGTACATTGAATCCTTCGGTGCTACTTAGTAATGCTCTGTGGTTTTACACTATTTAATATTAAATCTTAACTCTCAATACTTCAGATTTAGCTTTAATTATTTTACTAATGTAACTAGCTAAGTGACGCAATTTATTTGTATTTTGTAACGAATATATAATGAATTTTGAATGTTTGTTTATTTGTTAGTAATATCCAAAATCTTATTATATTTTTCAATCAATAAATATAAATATATATATACATATAAAGCTAATTGTCCTTTAAAAAAATCAATAATAATAATGTTTTTTCTACCTTTTTTGATTCGCTCCACTATAACTTAAAATTGATTCATAACAAAAGAAAATAATTGCAGCGTTTGGTACAACACGCATCATATGTGCACTCATACCACCATAAAATGCTTTAAATCCTTCTTCTTTAAATATCGTTTTGATACATCGGATTAATCCTTTATATTTACGCACGCCATTTTCACCCGGTAATTGTCTCATACGAGTTCTAATCACCTAAGTCGTCAAAGTAAAATTATTGCAAATTTTGAATAATTAATTAAAAATAAATACACGTATTATAATTAACCTCATGTGGGTAAGTAACACAAGCTGCCATCAGTTTAGCTGAACCAGCTGCTAACAAATTATCTATCCAACGCCAATTAAAACTATTATCTAGTTGCGTTACTAGACTACCGGAACCGTTTCTTTTATTATTATTGATTCGTTCTTTTTCCCTTTTTTCCGCAAATTTTGACTTGAATGATTCATATAAAACCCATTGTATTGTGCTTTCCGTCACACCTAACATTATTATCATTAACTTTTATTAACATCTGTCAAAAAGATCTTTTATCAAAAATTAATCGGTGAATTAGTGAAAAATCAGTTGGTGAATGAGTACCTAAATATGAAGCGCTTAATCCTTTATATAGCCCTATGAATCCTTCATTTTTAATAACCTTTCTTATACAATCAAATGAACTCTTGTATTTTATGAGTGTTTGTGGTGATTTATTGGAACTTTGAAGTTGCATACGCGTTTTTACAAGCCATATTGGATTAATTACGGTGGATGTGGTAATTCCTATACATATTGAAGGAATTAATGTCAATGGAATTGATATAATCATTCATTCATCATCGATCTCGGATGTTTACCTGCTATAATTGCAGCTGTTAAATGAATTAATGGAGTTTCTTTTCCATCGTTTAATTCTATCAAAATTATTTTTCCATTTCCGTATGTAAAAAAATTAATTGCTCTAAAAAAATAAAAAGTAAAAGTTATTAATTGATTTGAATAAACAAAAATTTTTATTCTTTTTTGCATATTTTGTATAGGAGAATAGAAGAAAAAAATTCATGGTTAAAATTACCTTGCTGGTACAACTCCTATTAAATTTGGTCCTAAACCTTTGAATAATGCTCGTGATCCTTCAATACGATATACATCACTAAAAAAATAATACAGATATATATGCTTGTTATGAGTGAATAGACGATGATGATGATGATGATGATGATAACAGTATTATTAAAAAATACATACGTTAAAATTTTTCCAGTTTCAATAAAATGCCCAAAAATTGGTATACGTCGACTGGTTGGTTTTGTTATATTCAAATTATTTGATGATTGATAATATGATGACTAGTTTATTATTATTATTGTTGGTTTATATGTATATATTTTTATTACATATATATAACAAATCAGTAATTCTTTGAAAATTTCGTAAATCAAAAAGTGGAATAAAAAAGTGAGAAATAAATAAATAAATAAAATCACATCTTAAATGGGGACTAATGCTAATAATAACAATCACAATAATAAAAAGTATTATCAATTAATTAGTAACCTGTAATCGCGTCTTAACTACATCCAATGGCGAAGTTACAATTGCTCCAACCATACCTCCAAGACTAAAAGAAAAAAATCCCAAAGGTAATATATATATATATATATATATGAAAGAAAGGTTTAATTAAAATAATAATAGTTAGTGTGCATATAATTATCACTATTAAAATGTTTATATGCCTACCCTCCCGCTACAAAATGAATCCATGCTTTTGGTGTAGATGCAAATTGTTGTTTTGTAGTTGTTTTTGCATTAAATTGTATAGATGCTATTGATGCAGTCATTTTGAAAATTATTGATTTTTAAAAAAATTTTTTTTGATTTTATTTATTTTTTTTTTGATTTGTTTTTCCAAATTTGGAATAGGAGTTAAGATAAAAATTTGACAGGTGTTAAAACTGCGCAAGGGCAATAGTAAATATTTTATTTATGTTCCAGGGGTTAAAATCTAGTTGTAACACAATTTATTTTATTTTTCTGATAATGTAATGGACTAGGGGACTAGGTTGCAGGGGATACGTTGCACCTTAATATACTCATTAAAGATGGTGATGACATCCACCGTCTCTATAACTTACGCTCTGTCAAAATTCCGGTGCAGTTATCTAATAGGTGAAGATGTATTTCAATTAGTGGAGACATTATGATATTAAGGAATATCATGATTGTTAACATTTCGTTACTATTACATGCGCCAATAGCTAGATCAGCGTGTCTAAAGAAACGAAGTTCCACAGTGTCATCGGATCGAGAAGATGACTAACTATTAGTATTGAGCATCTTGTGTTATTACTATGTATTTCTGTATCAATAAAGCCGACCCTGGTGGTTGGAATTTATACATATACATTTGAAAAAAATAAACCAATTAATTGTTACACATAATTTTACATATCATGGAAATCAATAAATAAATCTGGAAAATTACAAATAAGAATATCTCAAACAACAGAGAAATAAATATTCTAACATTCTAAATATAACAGACTTTTAATTCTTTGGATTTAATTTAAATAAAGGAATTTAAATGTTTTGTGGACTGTTGAAAAAGAAACAATTCGATATGTGTGATGGATGTCAAGGCAGCACGCTACCTTGAACACTTTACAGTTATTCCTCATGTGCACAAGACTAATCTGACTTGCGCCCCCAGATGATACAATAATGCAACAGAATTACATGGGGTCGCATGGCCCTGGAGTTGGAACGCCTTGTATATGGCACCTGAACCCCACCAAAGTGATAAAAAAATCAAATATTGAGATTGGTCGTATTCATAAAATTCTGTATCACGACCATCTCTAAGCCTCAATTGATATCTGATATTGAATTACTATATATATTCTTTTAAAACAATAAATATTCTTGGGTTTTAATGCTAATGATCGTGTTGAGTTTTATGGCAAAATAGTGAAGGTACCATAGATTTTGGTATGTTTAAGGCGATCAAAGAATATGTTAAGTCGTTGTGTCAAGACGTTTGATAGAAGAAAAAATTATTTAACAAAGTTTTACAAATTTGTTATTAATTAAGCCGACTATATTTGTAGTTATGGTTGATTATTTTCCATTTCTATTATATTTCTTATAATAGTAAATAATTATTTTTAATAATAAAGTTGCAGCAGCATAACCTTTGCATACAGAATCTATATAATCTCATTGAATGTCACATCGATTAATGAAAATCAGTTTAAGTCATCCATGTATGTTTTGATTGCAAGACAATTGCTCTCAAGTAAATTTTAACATAAAAGGTAACTTTTGATTAAATAATCACTCAACCCAATTCATGTATGACATTATCCAAGCGAAGATAAAGAAAGGCTTTTAAGACAAATCTGGCCATTTTTGGTCGTTCTGAATGTCAAAAGTGATAAAATTCTTGGTATCAGTTTTAATTTGATCACAATTTGTTTTGTGAATTTGAATATTCGAAGTATATTGAATGTTTACTCGAATAAAACGAATAATGTGTGATAGTAATAGGATGTTGATGAGGAAGGTGTTGTTGCTTGTGCATTTTTGATTAGAAACTTTAGATGGATGTGGGCAAATTATTTCTCTTGATGCTATTTATTATTTATTCCAAAAAGCTGCTTGCTTTCATCTTCTTTCATTCCTGCAATAGGTTCCTTGTAATGACTTAACATCAGCCGTTATCTCATATTATTGGATCTGGATTTTTTATCTTTTTGGTAGAAAATTTACTAATTCCAAAAAGATAAAAAATTCCAAAGTTGCACAACATATAATAGTTTTCGATTTAGATATTCAATGGGACCAATTTTCAAATGTTTTATATATTAAATGATGAGAGCCTTCTTATTAAAGAAATCGTAAATGGCGAATGAAAGAGTATTATGAAATTTATATTCTCTTTTAATAGAATCAATCATATTGGGAAATAATTATGTATATATGATGGTCAAATCAAATTTCCATTTAAAGAATGGTGTGATAGTGCACTTTACATTTAAAATAAAAAATTTATATATAAAAAAATAGAAAAGCTTATATAAAACAAAGTAAGAAAAAAAACATATATATATATAATGACAATTTACAAAGAGTATATAATAAAAAATAAAATAAAACACTCGCGCGCACACATATATAAACTACGCAAAAAAAAAAAAAAATTTTTAAATAGAGAAAACAAGTAAAAAAAAAGAAAATTGATATTCTAAAAATGGTTAGTTACATTGATTTTTATAAAAAAGTCCCTTCCTTTTTTATAATTTTTTACGACCCAATGATAATAATTGCAGTGGAGGTGAAATTCTACTTATTTTTGAAATCTAATAAACGTTTATGAAAAAAAAGAGAAGATAAAAAAAGAAAAACTAAAAATGATTCTAATAGTAAAGTAGATTACTAAAAAGCAAATTGATTATTTCAAATTGAAGGATTTGCTATGAGTTTCGATTGAATAGCAATCACGTTTGGAACTCCAATTTCAGGCTAAAACAAAATAAGATTTAATTTAATTAATGGAAAGAATGATTTAAATAATATGTAAACGAATCAATTAAAAAAACTGCTTTACTCTATCATCCAAATTTTTAGCTATGATCATAGAATCATCAAAGTCATTTTCATCTTCATCCAAGTAATTCTCTTCGTCCTCATATTCAATATCATCATCGTTTAATTCTTGCAATTCCATTCCTGATTCAATTTGTTCTGACACTAGCATATTACTATTATTATTATTATTGGTATTGGAGTTGATATTAATATTATTGATGTTAACATTAATATTAATAATATTAATTATATTGGCATTAGCATTATTGACATTATTGATAATGTTATTAAGCTCGATTATTTGATTACTATTATCATTGTTATTATTGTGATGATGTGCTAGCAGTGGTGGTGAAAGAGGTATTGCTGGGAGCACTTGTGCTGGTGGTGGTGGTGCTGATTGTTGCATATGATGATGGTGGTGATGATGATGATGCTGATGATGATTATTATGAGCTCTTTGATTTATCGATAATTGTTGTCTTGGTTTAATGATACGAGTTTTTTTCTGTTTAATTAACCTACACTGATAAAAACCACATTTTTCCGACCATCCATCTCTACAAACCCAACAAAATCTATATCCACAATGTAAACAATCAACTTTATTGCAGCCATCATCACGATTAATTAATATTGAACAGTTTGGACAAGATTTAGAATTTTCAAGTTTCCATTTAATAATTTCCAAAGCATCTACAGTGTTGTTGTTTATATTATTATGATACGTAGCTTGAGTTTTTGAATTATTCATAATAAATAGATGAGGGTTCGCTACTTTGTAACGCATAAATTGAATACATGTCATTCCTGGATGATGAGTAGATTCACCACATTGAAGACAAATATCATTGTAACACTTGGTGCTATAAATAAATAGTATTTTATAAAAAGAGATAAATATTGAAATAAAATACATAATTTTTTTTTTAAAAAATAGATTATTAAATAGATTATTATACTTACCAACGCGACTGAGGAAAATTGGCAACATGCATAAATTGTAATTCTTTCCAAGATTCAGGTCTAATTTCCAAAGCTACGATTTTTGAAGAGATTTCAGCCGCTGATTTTACCATATCAGAATGGATCTTTAATTTATTACGGGTAAATTTTGTTGTTGATCTTCGATTATTCATTCCGAAACTTTTTTGGGTGAAAAAGAAAATTAATTATTAAACTTTTTTCTTTTTTAAACAATATACAAGAAAATATATATATGTGGTTAATAATTACCTTAAACCAAGACAATCGCCAATTTTTTTTGCAACATATTGATACATTTCAAAAACTCCCACACCAGGATTATCATTTGAAATAAAAGTCAAGTAATCTTTCTCAAATCTTGCGATAAACATGTCAACATCACTGATATTATTTATTGTTGCAAATTGAGAATTAGCAATGCTTTTCCCTTTAAGAGGTTTATTATTATTTACACCATAAGTCTCCAAAAATTTACGAAGTAGAACAGAAATTTCTTTAAAGTATCTAATATAGTTCGTATTAATAATTAATAAGTAAACAAGAATAAATAAATCAATTGATCGATCAATCAATCAATCAATTAATAACTAATTCTTGACTAATTATTATCATTGAATCCTTACTTTTCTTTTTCTTCAGCACAAACTTGGAAAACTTTTGCAGCAAAAATTTCTTCACCACATTCATTACAACAACGTGAATACGATCTGTATGGTCTATTGTACGTATTATACAAATCAATTGTGTTTTGATCAACATACTAATAAATTATTGGTAAAAATAAAGAAAAGTTTTAGAATGCATTCTTTATTAGTTTAATAATAAAAAAAAATTGATGTACTGTACCTTGCTCCACTCTGATTGAGATATTACATCTTGACAAACAGGACATTTAATTTTAGTGATATTAAGTCCCCAAGAATTTTGAACTACTTCCTTAACATATCTTTAAAAAAAAAACCAAATAATAATTTAAATAAATAATAGAACTTTAAATATTTATGAATATCCACATAATAAATTATCATAATTACCTTTGGAAACAATCTTTACAAAATTGATCTCTACAAAGATCCAAACAGAAATCAAGTTGAGCATCAAAACATATTGAACATCTTTGCAACCAATACTCAATGTCTTGTACCGAAGTTAAATTATCACTGCCACCCTCCCCTCCGTCACTTCTTTGTGAAGAAGAAGAGGATGAGCCTGAACTAGTTGAGGAAGACAGATTGAATAAAGAAGAAGTAGTGCTAGTAGTAGAAGTGCGATATTTGCTGGAAGTTAAGCTGCTACCAATTGCTATTGTCTTAGAAGCAAAAAACTGCAATGACCTGACGAATATTGCTGGCACGATCTATAACAATTCCAATGAAATGAAAAAGAGAGAAAAATTTTTTTTAATGATAATGATATATACTTGAACTATTATTACAAACTATTGTTATTGCTATTATGTACAATGATTAGTATGGATATTATGAATTATGAACTGTTATTGTTATTGTTATTATTAATATAATGTCAATAGTAAAATTACAATCTCTGAAGGAAATAATATTAGCGATCTAATGTAAAATTCGTTTATTAACATATAGCAAGTTTTCATCTCATTCAAATTAAAAAGTATTAAAGAAGTAAATAGTTGATAGCAATAGCAATAATAGTTATAAAAATAGTAGTACTTACCAAAGTTGGAGAAAAGATGTAAAGAAAAGGTAAAGTATAAGCGAGCAACAAATTAGTTATAGAGTATTGTTTAAGATTTGTGTAAATGGGAGAAAAATAATAAACGTAATAATTGGTAGACAAATTTTGATTGCCTAACACCAAAAGTCGAAAAGGAAGTGAGTTGTATAGAGTATGATAGAAAGATGATGCCAAAAGATCCCAATGGTGGTTATTGTTGACCGATTCAAAAGAAGGGAAAGAATTAGAATTAAATAAATTCAGTGGTTTCATTTGATTATCAATTAATATATATATATATATATATATATATATATTTAATATTTATATATTATATATTATATAATACTATATTTATCTCTTATCTAACTAATATACAACAAAAAAAATTTTTCTAGCCCTTACAGTGGAGTGTGGAGTATGTATATGGACTTTGAAATCAAAAAGTTTTTGAATATTAAATAAATAAATAAATAAAATAATAAATGGTGAGTAAATAATAAATATAATAATTACAATTATATTTTAATTATTTTCTCACTTTTACTTCTTTTTTAAAAAAATAAAGCTTCTAATGAAAAATATGAATTTGGAGCAAGTGACATTAAGTTTCATCATGAGAGGGACCACATCACAAGATAAAAAAAGAAAAAATTTATATAAAATAAATTTGTTTATGTGTAACGTACGTAGGTTATAAATAAACACTTTTCTCCCTTTTTTCACAACCAGATAATTTCATCATCTGTAAAAAATCTGAAAACTATTTTTTTTCGATCATGTGACAAGATAATTTTTTTTTATTATTCTTTCCTCCCTATATATACAATACATCATTAAAAACTTATTCCTTCGCTACATGCCAACTCAACTCTCTGATTTTCAACTTTAATATACATATGTGTGTGTGTTTTTAAATTATATAAAGATGATAAACAAGACATAACAAAAGAACTAAAGTTCTATTAAAATCAGCTGAGAAAGTAAAGGCAGGCATTACTGCATCATAAATGTCGCATGAGGTTGTATCCTCGATAATATTGCTTATTGCTGCCAGTGTTGTACAAACACTAATTGTTATTTATTTAAAAAATTATTTCAATCACTTTTTTTCTTGTAATTGAAAAATAAAAACAAATAAAGTTTTAATTTAATTTATAAATATTAATTACTTTACTTAAAATAACATATTTAATCAATCTTACTTCCTATCTCTTTATAATATATTAAATACACGTTGTAGCTTTTTGAATTGAGATAAGAACGGCTTCTTTATTGAGAAACTAATGATGCTGTCTTAGTTTGGCTAGATTGCATTTTTTAGTCTGCAGTGTATTGCAAATTTGCGAATCTGATTTAAAATTAGCCGAATATAAAATCCGTTGCTCATCATTAATCTTCAAAATTCATAAGTCAATTCTTCATGATCATAACGGTCACTCCCAACATCTTATCATTTAAGCATCTCACTCGATTCCCAAAATTGAATCCATATATATATATATATATCCAATTCAAAATTTGCATATTATTTCCATTCATTCACTAAATGAGAAAAATTTCCTACGTGACACGATATTATTTTTTGGTTACTATTACTAATACCGTATGTTTGCCGGAAATAAGCAACAAAATTAATATTAACGCGTTTTTGGTTTCTTTGAATTCACAGATTACACGTTTCTGATCTTTTCTTATTATTATTATCATGTTAGAGATGCCTTTGATTCTTTGAGTCATCGCCGTTATTATATTATTTTTTTTAATTTGTTTCTGGAACCTTCTTAACATATCCTTTTAAATTCACATGATAATCACGTGAACATATACTCATTATGCTTCATATGAAGGTAGTTTGCCAAGAACATGACTTAAAAAATAATGATATTAATTGATAGAATTGGGCTTTATTTTTAATGTAATAATGATATTTTCTCAAAAAATTTATTTGTTGTATAGTTGGCTTGGTCTAAGACCTCCTAAATTTTGGGCAAATTTTAAAAGTATAGAAGTCATTTTCTGTCCTATCTTTTAAAAAAATAACTCTATTAGTTGATAGAATATGTATTTTGTTTTAATGTAATAAAGAGATTTTCTCAAAAAAATTCTTTGTTGTAGAGTTCTATTCTTTTTTAAAACATGTAATTTACTATATATGCTCATGAAAAATTTGAGCGCTAGGATCATTGCTAAATTTAGATTAGTTTTTGATCATCATTACTAAATTTAGACTAACACTCGACCATCATATCTAAATTTGGCAGTAAAGAAAATAATTTATTAACCAAAATCACGTGAATGCCTTTTTAAAAAATTTTATTACATTTTTGAACGAATCACGAAATCGCATTTTTTGAAATCTGTACGTGGCGCAGCGATAGGAGGTCTTTAGACCGAGCCAACCATAGAGTTCTATTCAAAATTTGGTCACTAGATCATTACTAAATTTAGACTAGTTCTCGACTATCGTATCTAAATTTGTCAGCAAGAAATAATTTTTAAACCTAAAATCACGTGAAGTCCTATTTTAAAATTTTTATTGCATTTTTGAACAAATTACAAAATTGCTATTTTTTTGAAATTTGGCTATATGGCACAGCAGTAGGAGGTTTTTAGACTGAGCCAACCATATATTAATAAATTATTTATATATTATATGATATATTGATATGAACATCACTTCAACTTGTTAATGCTATAAAAAATGAAAACATTGGATTGAAAAATTTATTAAAAATTATCATTTATTTTTTGTCAAAAATCATTATTTTAGTGTGTATATTTGACATCAAAAAAAAATTCTAAAGATAATTGTGAGAAGATATTACCTTTATATAATATCATAGTAGCCAAATAAATAAATAAAAATAAATAATAAATAATTTAATATGTAATAAAATGACAAGATTTAACTTATTCAGGTAAGTCATCTTGTATAGCTAATTCAATTTGTTTAGAATCCATAGAATATTATCACAAGAGTGGGTATTAATAAATATTGTTAATTTTAAAAGTTAATAAAAATGAAAATAATCAATGATTAAACATTGATAATCACCATTATTATTACCAATAATTGTTACTTTATTGGAATTCACAGGTTGGGGAAGGTTTGTAAATTTTAATAATCTGCTAGTATAAATTGTATTTGGATGAATTACTGTAGTAATTGTCAAAGGATCAAATTTTATTTCGTCCATTTTCTCAAACTCTTTTCTAATTGATTCATTATTAAACATATCCCAAGAATCAATAATATTAAAAATTTCTTTAGCAATTGGACGATTATCTGGATTAGCATCCATGCATTTAAATGCAATAATAAACCTTCAATTTTCCATCTTTATCTTTTATCCTTATTGTAATGACCAACGAAAATTTCATTAATTTCTGATTTTCTCTTGAAAAGCAAGAATAACATCGGGTACTTGCTTGCAAAAGCAGAGGAAAATAATAGATAATTAACATTCTAACAAAATAAAGCTGTGATGGAATCATCATTTTTATTAAGTAAAGTTAATCTTTTGAAAATAAACATAAAAACAATCATTTTCTTTATTTTCTTTGTTTAAGCACTTTATAAAAGCAGCAAGTGTAATGCCTTAAGTAAAGGACAACAATTGTAGAGCTTTGGTAAAAGGCCACGTTTATTTGCTTTAGTGAGCAACCAACGTTGGTTAACTAGCGAGTGTTAACAACAATTAGTAGCGTAATTTGTTTTAGTGAGTAAGTAAAGGTTAGGGCTGACGTTGGTTAGTAATCGAGGACCAAAGTAAATTCGTAAACTAATTAATTAATAAACACCGAATTATTGTGCGTTTCTTGCAATTAACTGACAACCATAATTGTTGAATAATTGGTATTGAAATTACTTCAAAATTTAGAAACGAAAGAAAAAGATAATAATAATGAATAAATTTATAAATTAAATTTTAATTATTAGAATCTAATCAATCAATGAGTATTGTTACAGTATTGTTAGTAATAATTAGTGGATAGTAATGTTCAATTAATTAACAATGAAATTTTTATTCGCCATCAACATTTAAGAGATGAGAGTTAAAATCAAGATTATTACTTGTATAACTTTTTAAGCCTTTAGATTTAGAAATATCTTCGTCTAATATTCTACTTTAATGATATGCATCTGGATTTGTGTACTTGTTACAAATCATTACTACTATTACTAATGTTATTATTATCATCATCATCATGATGTTTATTAATAGCAAAGTCAAAAAAAGCTCACTAATTGTCTTTTTGATGGATTCACATCCCACATTATTAATAATATTATTATTACGTATTGCTATTACGCGTAGTTACCTTCAAAGTCAAAATTTCGAAAAAACATAAAGTTAATACAACTTGTATTTATGTTTAATAATCAGAATTGCATTAATTTGTAAAAGAAGAAAAATTTTAATTTCTAATTCATTTGTAAACCTCCCATGATAATTATTCTTCTTGCGTCATTGTAATATGATAATTCTTTATCCACATACAATTTGGAACTTCTTGATAATCCTATTTTATCATTGTCAGGTGGTTTTGCTTTAGTCAAATCGTCAAAATGGCCCTGGTGAGAAACTACCTTTAGTCAATACTTTAGTTACGTCAATGACTAAAGTCAAAAGTTTCGTCATACATCATCTCTTTAATGGCGGTGACTTTTTCACTTTTCTTGCAATTAAAAGTTTTGAGCCCTGTTCCAACCGCACAGCTTTGGTATCATAACAGATTTATTAGATAGTTTTTATATATTTTCCTCCAGAAAAATAATAACGAATCCATCCTTTTTATATCAAGAATGTTATTAAAAGAAAGTTCACAATCATCATAAATATTTAAACCAAGCGAGTTTAAAAAATTTTTTTCGTTTCAGCTTTCAACTCTCAACATTCGCTTTTTCAACACACTCTTTCAACCCTTCCCTTTACAGGAGGAAATAAATTTTTTTATCTATTTTGTCTGTGAGGAAAAGAACAACCACAGCATTTTGGTAGAATGAATCGACCACCCAACAGTCTAGAGGCCTATTTGTTTTTAATTGGACACAATGGTTACGGCATTGTTGACTAGAAGAACCCATAGTGGCTGCAGGATGGGTTGTGACCTTTGAAGTCTGGACTCTTTCAAGTACATTGAATCCTTCGGTGCTACTTAGTAATGCTCTGTGGTTTTACACTATTTAATATTAAATCTTAACTCTCAATACTTCAGATTTAGCTTTAATTATTTTACTAATGTAACTAGCTAAGTGACGCAATTTA